GCGGCTTCGAAGCTGAACATTCATCATAAACCATTGTCATTGTCGTATTTGATTTATGCAAGTGAGATGTTATTGTATAGGACCGGGTAGGATTGATCTGTGCTCGCTATACGTCGACAATGAACCGTGGGCCGATGGCCGATTGCACAAGCAGAACACACGGGTTTCATAACGCACGGCATCACGAACAACCAAACAATAAGTTATCCTACCAACCACGATTAAAAACCTAACAACTATACAGTAATAGAAAGTGGAACATCAAATGTTCTATGTACTAGATACTGTCAGGTCATTTTTTATAGAAAGCGCTAAACGTGAACGGAAAAAATATCGTCTAGGTCGTTTTGTTCTGGTTTTTGGAACGAGATATTAATGTTGCTATTTTGTTTGGTGTAAAAACTGACTAACCTGATCAGTTGCATGCTGTATGAGACCTACCAACTTTAATTGTGTCCGGTGCAGCGCAAAGGACTAAAGACGTCGTAAAATGGATTATGCTATACAGATCTGTCTTCTTATTTATATATTTAAGGTCGTTGGAATATAAAAATATTCTGAAACCTTTATCCATATCTTTATATCATTGCCACACAACACACGGTTAATGTAAATTAATTTTAATACATTACTCAATGATCACAGTTAGTTTATACGAAGAATGTAAACCTGTTTGGGGAATTTAGTAAGCGTGGACATCTCTGTATATTATACGGTAGGCCACCTGGACAGTTGTCTGCGAAGAATGAGACGCCAACATTAACCTTTACTAAAACGTGAGCATTACTCAACCCGCGCAATGGAATATTTCGAAGGACCTAAATAGCAGTACGGTCAAATGATGATACTTTATATTAACATAATACGATATGATGTCTGTATTCCACTTTAGGCGCGTAATGCTCATGCTACCCGATACAGGGCTTCTTAATGCCATTCAAGACGATTCATAATCGCGCTTCATAATCAACCTGAAATAATCCAACAACACCAACGACCATAAACTCAATGAAACAAACACATGTTTCAAAATCAATGGATATTTACACTTCAATGTTTAATCTTCGTTTCATCAGTTACAAACAGATTAAATAACACAATGAGCTAATTGTATTATCTGTGGAAATTATGTAGTCATTTATTATACTGTATGAGATAATACAAATTACCTCAGAATACGTGTTCTACATGTCGATACAAGATGTTGCGTTGATTTTATTGTGACATTTTGATTGGTCGGATCTCACATCGGTTGCGACACGGTAAACGATGTAATTGGATCAATAAATGTCACGATTCCCGCGCATTATTCTGCAATGTTCTATGAAAAATACGCTAATATTAAACGCGTGTAAAATACGCTTTGTGTAGACATTTAGACACAGCTAATGTTTTTGCCTAAAATAGCCTAATACCACATAGTGCTTTTCTAGAATTTTAAATATAAATAACAACAACTGATTGGTAATTGATGTTAATTTACCTACATACTGATACATAAAGTTTCTTAAAGCTTTCAAAGTCATATAAGTAGATAAAATCTTATATACAAATGACTAAGCAGTTAAAAAAACTCGGATGCGGTGCTTTAGGATAACCAAAATTTCCGCATTTATAGTAGGTACCAACTTATACAATCATATTAATTCGGAAACGTCGAGGCAGAATAGTGATGTTAGCGTCAGAAGAATTAACTTAAGTAACGTACGATTATTATCATGAGAAAAATGTATGTATGATTCATTTGATAGATACAGAAAACAGGGTTATTATGGTGCGCCTAAGTAATTACGATGTACATTACACAGTCCTTGTAACATTTTGATGAAACATCACACACATCGTAGAAAATACAACTGATGCAACATATTATGATGTTGATTACTGTGCTTTGCAATACACACTACACACTACACACGACGCCTACCTATGCATGAAAAAATATTTTATTTCTGGTTAATTTCCTTGGGTACAACTTAGGTACAAACAATGTTTTGAAATGAACATAGTCACGATTGTTGATTTAGTAATTTTAAGAAATGTTTTACAGACGAATTAATGTCTGCTTGAGCGATTTCTATCTGCATAATTTAAAAATAGCATTATTTACAATAAAGTCCGCAGACGCTCAAATATTTCTGCAAAACAATAAATTTTAATATACCTATTTTTATTTTATCTGTTACGGTCGAATAAGGAGATCGATCGGCGTTAAAATATGTGCATTTCGTAAATGAATTCGGTCAACCGAAACGTTGTCATTATGTTGTAACTGTGACAGTTCTGCCACAATATTATAAATAGAGTACACAAGGCCTAGGAAATTAGGTTGGACAGAGAAAAGGTTATAGTTCTCACGCCGACTAGACTGATACAACGATAAACGTGCATTCTGAACAACGGGCTAAAGTATATTTTATGACGCCAAGGTATAAAATAAATGGTCATATTCACAAAGGTGCAGCACAATAAACTGCAGTCATCATGCATCAATTTGAACTGAAAATAAGAAATAAACATGTGCCCTGGGGGAATTGTGGGAAGCAACACGACTCTATACGAGTGCCTACAGGCAAGCAAATTTTTTCATTGCGCCAATGAACGAGCATGCGCTGGGCTTCAATTGGAAGATTGGCGCGTCGTGTGGGAGGGCGACAATCCTTGCCCTCTGCCGGCGAGGATATCCTTCCAGAAAATAACTCGGCGAACAAACGCATACATACAACAAGTTAACGCAAACTGCAATAATATAATTATTATACAATTTATATCGTTTTCGTTATCCATTATTTTTTGCTAGATAAGCGCTGCGTAATTCACAATTTTCATGTAAAATAATAGTAACTTATTCCCTGTGTCTACATGTCCACACGAACTTATTTGGTCAGTTTAGTAATTTTCCTGTTGCAATTACATATTTTTTGTACGTTACATGATCGAAGGGAAAGAATGGCAATATTCGCATTCTACACTTTTTAAGTTGATAATACGTTATACGTTCAAAGTGGTAGATAATGATCGGTGTCGCAATAATAATACTGTATTAAGAGTAATCAGATGGCAACAGCGCAGGGCTGCAGAGCAACGGCCGACCAAGGTTCATCGGTTTATTGATCGAACCAGTTTCGTGAAATTAATGCCTACAGCTTTATCATTTTTATAATGATTTTTCCTGTAAGCAATTTGTTTTAACATTAGGTACATGCGTATGCTTATTTAATTAAACACAGTCGTTATATGGTATCTCGTTTTAAATCAGAAATATTATATCCACTTTCAGAAAAATCTGAAAGTAGATATAAATGGATAAAAATCCATTCAAAATTCGATTTACAAAACTGGATCATCTGCGTTTTCGCATTTTAATCGATACTCTCTCTCGATTTGAAAGCTCGAATGTTAAAAGCCAATACTATAGGTAACTTATAAAACCACACCTTGAAAATATCTTTGAAACGTTGAATATACGAGATGTCTCCAAAAGAAACAAAAAGCCAGAAACCGATCGTTTATAAAATGAAGTAAGAACAGCGCCGCGTAATAACCGGTAACCGAGAACTTATAGAACTGGTTCTCGTTACGTATTGAACTTGACTTGTGCAACTACACGTAAAGATACACCTGAAATGGTCATCTTGACCCGGTCTCTTACAGATAAAAAGAAATCGAAACAACCGACTATACAATAAAGTAAAAACGAGAACCGTACGCGTAAAGACAGTGCAGGCTGGAATCAGACTCGCTGACGCATAATAATGAACTTTTGCATTTATTTTAAGTTAACGTAAAAAGATCACGCGGCTAATAAATTCGCACTTGTCACACAACAAGATGGTCTGTCCAGATGGCGTCTCAGTTTGTTTTTAATCCATTCACATTCTAGACAATGCAGACAGTGACTGACGGGTACGCATAGACTGGCCGCAATTTAAATTTTACAGCGAATTTCCAAGCGAATGTTTTCGTAAAACTATAAATACAAGCCCGATACGAGGTCGATTAAAACGTGGGGAGACAAGTGCGTACGCGTGTGAATCATTCATACGATGCCACGTATTGCATTCTAGTTAGCAATTCAATTCAATGAGCCAATTAAAATTCAGATAATGCGTTGCCGACGTCTGGCCGGATCATCCATATTTCTAACGCGCATTTCGCATCCTGCCTAGCTCTGAGCACGCACTAGGAAGTGTCCATCATGTGCAAACTGAGGTATATAATTGTAAAAAAAAAATAAACAAGCTTTTTCCTTTCTTCTAAGTAATTTAGTAAATAATTTATATTTTTGGAATACACAAGTACCTATTGTAAAAGCATTTCAAGTAATCGATTCCAATTTGTATGGAAACTAATACTAGGTTATTTTAAGATAATGATAATTCCCATCGCAATTTGCCATCTATTTACAGTGCGGCGCCAGACCGCATTCCAACAGGAGCTGGGATATCGCCTTAATGCCCTACCTTTAGCTAGTACAGGCTAAATATAGAAACCCGTCAGGGTACATGACCTTCCTAGCTAATGGAAAATAGATGAGCCTCCCTCGCAGTTTCGAAAAATATAAATACTTCTTTATAAGTGATGATAATAGTAATTAAATACACCTGCATTACAAAATGCTACTTATGATTACAATCACATTTATTTGAACAAAAGAAGCAAAGTGAAACCTCCTCTGTCGGTGAATACGCAGCGATCGCTTCCATGTGAAAGTCCCCTTGAAAACTCTCTATCGCATCATAGCCTATTTTGTAAATAGTTTACATCCTACTTATGCACATCGACATTAATTCGAGACGATTCGAAGATAGGTACTTGTTCCCCAGCCAACGAAGCCCTTAGATGATTCAGCCTTAATAGGAAAATTGCTGCGAAACGTCGAAGCGGCCGGCTCGTAACATTGGCCTTACCGCGCTCACGACTTGCAGACGTGCATTTGAATCTATAATAGTCGCAGTCATTATTTTGTCAAACCACTAATTGTACCTTTTCTTTGTTTCAGGATGAAGGTCTTAATATTATGCCTGGCCTTCGCAGCTGTGACTCTGGCAATGCCAGTAGCCGAAGAGAAACCTGATGTGGCTGCACAAGCTCCATCAGTTGCGGCAAAACCTGAAGAGATCAACGACCAACCCGCTCCAGCAGAAGACAAGAAAGTCGAGGAAGCTCCTCAATCAAAAGAAGCTGAAAAAGAACCTGAAGCCAAGAATGCACCTGTAGAAGAAAAAAAACCTGAAGTCAAAGACGAACCTGAAAAGGCCCCAGAACCTCAAGCGAAAGAAGTTGTACCTGAAGTAAAATCAGCAGAACCTGAACCTGAAAAGAAACCTGAATCCAGTGATTCTGCAGAATCAAAATCTGAAGAGAAAGTTGTAGAGCCAGAATCTAAGCCAGTTGACGAGCCTAAACCGGCTGAGGAGCCTAAACCAGTTGAGGAGCCCAAAGCTGCTGAAGTGCCAGCTATAGTAAATGAGGTACCCAAGGATGCATCTGCTAAGGCAGCTGCGTTGCCCGAGGAAAATATTGACGTTGTTACTGCTGTGAAAAATGATGCCGGTATCGCTGATGACGTCATGATGCCCGATGTTTTGATCCCAACTCCAGTGAAGAAAATTGACTTGCCTGAGGTACCAGCCGCTGTCGTTGAACCTGAACCAAAAAAATCTGAACCATCTGCTCCCGTGGAAGAACCTGCTAAGGCTGAGGTAAGCAAACCAGAAGAACCTAAAGAAGAAGTTAAGGCTGCAGAGACCGCCTCCGATGCTGTGCCTGCTGTCCCAAAATCGGAAGAGAGTTCTGAGGATAGCCTACGTGTAGTCCGTAACACAGTCGATGGTAAACTGGTTGTTGCTGCTGAGGACAAACCTGAGCCTGCTGCTGAAAACAAACCTGAGGCAGTTGCGGAAAGCAAACCTGAGCCAGTAGCTGAAAGCAAAGCTGCACCTGTTGAAGAGAAGAAACCTGAAGTTGTTGAGGCGAGCAAACCTGATTCTGTTGTAGAAAGCAAACCTGAACCCGCTGTAGAATCCAAATCCGCGCCAGTCTCAGAGAACAAACCCGTTGAAGAAGCTAAACCAGAGGCTCAGCCTGCCGAAGCTGCCAAAGAAGCAGAGGTTCCCAAAGAAGTAAAGAAAGATGAGGCCGAACAAAAAGAATCAAAATCAGGCGATGTTGCTGCACCTGAGCCTGCAGCTAAAGAAGAGCCTGCCCCAGCGCCTGCTGTTGAAGAGAAAAAGTCTGACAACAAAGAGGTTGTACCTGAGAAGAGCGAACCAGCTCCTGCTAAACAGGAGCAGCCTTTAAACGACAAACCGTCAAGCTCAAGTGAGGAAAGCGCGAGCGAAGAATCAAAAGAAACCTCATCTGAAGAGAAAACTGGAGCTCCTGAATCTTAGATAAGTAGTGGTGGCGTGCGGCGGCGGACGTGTGTCGACACGCGAGTCTCGACACGCGCCCCCCGCCCGGCGGCCCGCCCCCGCCCGCAGCGTGCAAGTGACGAGTGAGTGAGTGACTGGTGACCGACGCAGACGCGCCGACTGCGTGGATAACTCCGACTATTCATTAGATCTAGAGACTATTTAAATAGCCGATCCGAAAATTATTACCTACGTTGTAGTTATAATTTGTCAAAGTAAATTATCGAATTTCCGGTACTATAAGTAATAAAATATGTTTTATAATGTGAGTGTTTTTATTTCCCAGGGTGATAAATGTGACAATGTTGAAAAGTTCCTACTTACAGCCAGTAAAAACTTAAGATCAAGTTCAATATTATAGTTGCCTAAAACATGACATCAGTAATTTGACTTATGGAGCATTATTAGCTTCTAACAACACTAGGTAATAACATATCAATTAATCCCTATGTTCATGAATAAAGCTATGTATTTAAAAATAGCTCAGCTGTTAGTGAGAATTAAAAAAATTGAAAAATCAAAGGACGTTGTTTCTCCTGGCTTGAAATCCAAGCCTGGCGTGACTTGTATAAAGTATTCGAATCATGTTTGCAGTACACTGGTAGTGATAGTATCAGTATCGATAAATTGAATATCAATTAGGAGTTAGTGTGCTAGCTTGCTAGGATTGATCGAACACGTGCAGTCATTCTATGTAATTTCCTGCCATAAAGGCATTGCTTGAGTGGTTACGAATCGAAGAAGAACGTAATAATAATAATTTTGAGTCGATAACAGTGGTACCTATACAACGCTTTTTAAGTTTTTATCTCCTCTAATGATAGGTGGAGTTGCTATCAAATGTAATAACCGTTTCTGGTTTGCAATAGGTAAATCTCATGTGAGCTAGAATATCGAAAATTCAGATAAGACTGCTTGACTTAATCCTTACTCCTTACTTAACATTATAAATCGGAAAGTGAGTGAGTTTGTTTGTTTGTTCCACTTTCACGCCGTAACTACTAAACCGATTGCTTTGAATTTTTGCAGACGTGAGGTACGAAGTCTGGATTAAATAATAGGGTACTTTTTATCCCCGAATAATTTGATATTCTCGAGGGAAAACGAAATTATTGGTATAGATGGCGCTGTGTGTATTTGTATATGTCACATAGGCTACTTTTTATCCTTTTGTGACGCTAGCGAAGCCGCGGGTAAAAGATAGTTTAGAATAACATAAACAGCCCATAAGTGGCCACTGCGGACCAAAGGCCTCTGCTCGCACGGAGAAGGTTAGAGCATTACTCTCCACTCTTGCCCAATGTGGGTTGGTTAGTTTCGAACTTATAATTAGAAATATAAACCAGGGTTCTTCACGATATTTTCCTTCACTGTGGTGTTTAAATAATATTAGAAAGTACATATAACTCGGAAAAAGTTACATTGGTACATGCGTTAAAAGGTTACAAACTGCACCATGCATGAGCATGAGAAGCGGGAGTCTTAAACCTACGGACCACCATGACTCTTACGACTTCATTCGACTCGACTTAAGAATAAAATTCAAGATCCTTTTGCCTAATAGTCCATGATAGCAGCTAGCTGCTTCATGGACTTCAACGAGGCAGTCAACAACTTTAGACGAACCATTCATTGGCAGTCTTAGGCGAATGTTATTAATATTAAGTATCGACTGAATGGCTACATACCTCGTCAGTAAGCATGCGGCAGGTAAGGACTCCCAGCGACCACCAGTCCACAGCATGTCCATATGGCTCCCGAGACAGGACCTCTGGGGCTGTCAACAATATTACGCAATTATGGGGATGACGACGATAAATGTTTATAACAATAAAGCTAAATATATACTACTTTTTTAAATTACATAATAACCTTTAATGTTCTTTTATAGTTCAGTCTTCTTAGGTATCTGTTTAGTATTACTATTATTGGCACATACGACGATAGCGAATGAGGCATGCAAGAATCGTAGCAATTGGCCTTCCATAGTCTCTGTCTACCCCCATGGGAAACAGGATGTTATGTATGTATGGAAAGATAGAATTCAGTTACAGGAATATTCTAAGATATAAGCAATATCGGGCAAAGTAGTCATTGAAGCTTAAACATGAAGTCTTTATTAACAACGAAATAGAGGCGAGTGTGATTTAATACTCTTGGGACAGAGATAATTATTTCAACTTAGACTTTATGCCACTTTCACAGGCTCCCTAGAAGTGCCAGATAAAATTGACTGACCGATAATAACAATTATATATGTGGTGGAAAATGGCTGTAAAATCAGCCGTAGGTCAGTGCCGAAACTACTGGGTGGCAAGTCAGCAAAATGCCACGGTCCCCCAACTGGAAGGGGTTCAGAGATTCTCATTTGAACATCTGCTTTTTATTGGGACCGGGGCCCATCCGATGAGTATAGTTACGCCATTACCGTCGGTTAATCAGTTTCATAATCCCATTCACACTTCTTGTGCTCTACGCGGCAGTCATTCCTCCATTCATTCTCAAGTAAAAATAAAAGTGAATAATAATAATAAAACAAGATAATTACGTTTACATGGAAGGAACTCCTTGAAGACGTGTAGCACAGGAAGTCCAAGTCTCATTTCACTTTCCAAGATCACATAAGACGAACGAGATTTTATTTCCTTATGGATCAGGATTTAAATATCAACCTATATTAGTTCGTTCGTTGAACACCAACATTCTCGATTTTGTTTTCACAAAAAGATTATATTATTATTTCATAATAACTATCGTGAGACATACTAAATTGACTAAAAATCCGCGATCGCGCACGCTGCTCATGAGGAAGAAGGGCTCCCGTGTGGTTCGAAACTAGTAGAGCTTTTCTCGGTAGGTATATTCACGTGAGTATCCCGCGATTTTAGTTAGGTTATATTATTATTGTAGCTGTGTAATTCAAATTATTCTATATATCAACATGTAATGTAAGCATCAACTTCTTTTGGTACAATTTCTTCGAATATAATATGTATTTAATTAATTAGCCTTATTGACCATAATTAGCGTGTGTTTAGGTAGGTTCCAAAGAAATATTTTATTTTGTGACCTTTATGATGCAAATAAATTATGTGTTTCTGATTGATAAACCTCATATTCTGTTCATACAGAATACAAAATGGCAGTGCTTCAAATGGTACCAACAAACCAAGGACTGTAATGTTAGGATCAAGGGGTATCTGTCAATGCCGTAAAGCTACGCAAAAAAAGAAAACAAAAGGCAATACTTCATTATTTATTACTTATATATAAATTATATCACAAGACTAAGATTTTTACTTTTTGAACTTATACATCACAACATATATATTTCCTGTTTCATTTATGTATTATATAAACTCTAATATGTAACAGCCGTTATTACACGCGAGTCGTGAATTTAATAGTTTCCTAAGACATCTTTTTAAATAAGGCCATAGCGAAGGTGCAGTGACATAATATATTTACTTAACATGTGCTCTGCATTCGGCATACACTATCACTATACGAGGCACACCTCCAAGGTATCTGAATTAAATATATTGTCAATATCACCAGAGTTCTATATTTTAGCATTTTGGAATCATTTCAATCATTAAGGTACTCACTGATATGAAAATTACAAATGGATTACATAATAAATATTATATCATTAAAATATTTGAGTAAAAGATATTGTTACGCATGCACTGTCGATATCTCTTCATATAATTATATTTCGTAACAGAATATATTCGTCATTGCACACGAACACGCTATCTTTTAACATAATTGTGAAAATATTTAAAAGAATTTGTATTTTAAGATCGCAAAGCCTATACAGCCTCATCTTTGGTGACGAAATAATTCTGATAAATATTTTGTAGGTACAAGTGTGATTAGATAGGCCTACAGACGTGATACACTAAAGCTAGAGTCACAAAATGAGGTAGGATAGTAAATCAGAATTGTATGGATGGACTCAGTTCACAGTCCTCTAGAAAACAAAACTAAAAGCAATTTGACTCTGGCATGAAAACATACATACGTGTAAATTGTAGTAGGTAGTAAAAGTTATCCTAAAATATGTTCTGTTGCAAGTCATGGATTCATATGTTTTCTTTGACGACACCCAGTCAGACAATTCGACAATAAATTATTAAGACTTTCAACAGGACATCGTCAAAGTAAATATATCGCAAATAAGTATAAGAATAAAAAGAAAAAAATGACATTACAATTTAATTTGATTATTCATCTCACCATTACTTAACACTACATGAGAAGTTCCTCGCACCGCGCCTACCCTAACATTTTTACACAATACATGGAACAATCATTGATCAGCTAGATCTAAAACATTCTATATCGATAAAGCTCTCTCAACAAACCACTTGGAACTATTCGAATAAGTGAACTGACTACTATACTATCGATGCAAGTATTTACAATATTTATAATACACATTTATAGAGTTACTGACAATACATAACTACTTAAGTCGTAATATCTATCATTTAATAATATATCAATCTTCCTTACATTCAGACAAGTCATCGAAGATATATTTTTTACATTTTTCTTTTATATATTCCAGGATTATTCTCGGCGATATCACAAAGCGATCATTTAAATATAAGTGAATAGTCAAATGACCATACTAATGGAGTCCAGCGACTCCGAGTGTGACTAAACATAGAAGCGTTAGTACTCAAGATATAAACATTTCGTGCCACCTCCTCAACAAGAACTCAAGTGTTCATTATCATTCATAAAAAAATCTAAATATTACTTACACAATCAAATTTCTAGGTAACTATTATGTCTACGTCAAACTTTCGTGAATGTTTGAGAAATCACTCTATATTAATCTTAGTAATAAACAACAGACGAATCCAAAGCTTAAATAAACGATAAAATGAATGGACACATTAACCAGCCTTCCGAGTCATAGCTCTGATATTACAACTAAAGTTACAAACTAACATTACAACAGACAAAGTTCCATTAAATAAAATATTATTAGTTAAATACGACGCGACGCGCGACGTCAAGTAGAGGCTCGGCTCATCCTAGCAGATAGCAGAGGGAGTGTATCCTCCACGCTTCCGTTCCTCGCAACTTACTCTAACCACCTCAACCATCTCATCGTACATCATACATAGACAATAAGCTGGAACTTGTATTATACCTACACGAACGAGAAACACAAAGTTTAGTACAAGCTAACAGTCAGTAATAAAGCTGATACATAGTAAAGTTACACAAAACATTAATTGCAACGATAACTACGACACACGTTTGTGCAACAAACAAAGCGTAAGTACAATAAATGACACAGATAATAGATTCTGATGTTTGTGTATTGTCAAAACGTCAAATACAGTGTTAATAGATAAAACAATTCATTCCTCATTATGATTATTATATACACATATCCATAGTAAAAATAAATCACACATAAAAATTTTCAATATTCAGTAAAATCATAGGTACCGCGAGAGGCAACAGCGCGGAGTCGTGTGTTTCATTAAAATTTGGTTCATTTAAAACATTTAGATTGATGTGACATGCTTCATGCATAGCGGCGCGTCACAGCGCGCGACGGAGCTGGCAGGCAGACGGGCGGTCTCAGCCGGCATCACAAAGACAGCGTGTCGCGGATGAGCTTGCGCACCGTGTTGCCCACCGACGTGGGCGGCGCGCCCGATAGGTTGTAGTTTATCTTGAACAGGTACGGCTGGATGTCTGAGTAGGACGTGTCGAAGATGAGATCTGCGTCTGAGCGGCTCGGCATCTTGGGCACGTACTCATGTCGGTTGATGATCTCAGTGATGAAAACGATCTTGTCCTGCAACATCTCCACGACATTTTCGTGCTTGCTGTTGTGCGCGTCGTGGTCGTTGCGCGCGAGCTCGCAGTAGACGGTCCACACCTCCCAGGGCACGCACTCGGGCTGGAAGGGCCAGCGCGCGCGGCGCTTCTGGAAGAACTCGAGGCTGATGGAGCCGCGCGGTGGGGACGAGCTCGAGTCCAGTCCGCGCAGCAGCTCGGAGAAGTCTGAGATCTCGCGCTTTACACTGCGACCCAGAGCGTCGGATTCGCAGCAGACGTACGTGAAGTCTATGAAGTCACAATCCACATCGACATAGCTGACGGTGCGGATGGAGTAGCTTTCCTCATTGTTGTAGGTGAACTTGCCACTAGAGCGGTGGAAGAGGACGGTATGGAAGATGCAGGCGACGACCTCGTCCACCTGCCTGCCCTCCATGGACAGCTCGAAGGCGATGGTGCGCGCGTTCATGTTGCCGGCGTCAGTGGGCGGCCGCGCGAGCGCCCAGTGCGTGCATGCTCGGAGTCAGGGCGAGGGTTACTGCTGCGCTGTCTGCCTCATATACGCTACGGATAACGAGCGAGCGAAGCACTCAGCCATGTTTTAAATTATCAAACGAGTCAACTCCCACACTGAAATGGAGAATGACCGTTTTAGTTTTTCGCGTCATTTAAAAGTATCTTACATAATTCAAGTCCGGTTCCTATCTGTTGAATATCTCTAACCTAAGCACTAAGACCGTAAGTACTACAGTAAACAAGCAAGTACCCTATTAATATCCTGCCATATAGCACAGAAAAGAACTTACCCATATACTTGAGTGTGCCGCAGAGTGTGGTGGTGCGCGATCCGATGGAGAGCCACTTGGAGAGCCCGAAGTCGATCAATCGTATGTGACAGTCTGAGTCGAGAAGAATGTTCTCCGGCTTCAAGTCTCGGTATATGACTCCAGCGTTATGAAGGAAATCTGGAGACATTAAATACAATTGTTCATTTTAACGAAAAATCCCAATTCCAACGATATCAACTGTTGCATCTATTTTAATGCATGGAGATAACAAAAATAATAATCTTATCAAGGCTCTCTAACTTGTCAGAACTGGTTAAAGGTCATTTTCATGACTCGGATTCATAATACAAAATCAGTTTTATCTTAGTTCAAAAACGACAGAACGAATTATAAAACGGCTGTCACAAATGAACATAAATAAATATTTTTAAAATTTTAATGACATATGGTCGTATTTTAGTATTTAATGCCTTGTGAGTTTGATGTCTAAATAAATTATTTGACTTTGAAATTACGACTTGTCCAGTATCGAACATCATCGACGATGAAGCTAGCGAATTACTAAAAGTAGCAATTATCAATTCAGTAATATACTCACTAAAGAAGTATGTAACAATCGTAGCAATTGGTGTCCAGTCTCTGCCTACCCCCATGGGCGACAGGCATGAGGTATATGTATGTATGGATGTATGTATGTAAGGAACTCACCAATAGCAATAGCGATTTCAGCGACAAATATTTTGACGAGTTCTTCAGGTAGCTTGCCGTACTTGTCCAGCAGAGCTAACAACTCGCCTCCGGGAATGTATTCTGAAACTACGCACAAAATTATGAATATATTAATAATTGTTATCAAATACCATCAGTAGGGTTTTGTGTATCGATTGCTTAGTTACAGAACTAACTTATGACACTCAAGTACACTGTAGTACAATTTAGTTTTTCAAAATAAAAAGTTTGGATCTAAGCTATTATTGTAGATTAATTGTCTCGAATTAACCTTCGAAGAGTAAAGTACTACGTGCGGGAATGATTTTTAATTCCTTTAATTTGAACTAACTTATTCCAACTAACTAAACCGACATTTCTATTGGATAAATCATGAGCACTTCAAGAGGACATTATTAGGAAACTTACAAAAATAATGAAAAACAACCCTATTCAAGCTGAATTAGGGTTCAAAGTAGATAGTATGAAAGACTTATTACGCATCATTAAGTGTAATCTCGGTAACCCAGTTCAAATTATTTAATCGATAAGCGACCTCGGTGGACAAAATAAACAAACAACATAAATAACAAATTTAATCTAATTCATGCGAAAAGTGTCACATTAAATAGGTCTGAAATAGTGCCCGGCGATTGGTTTTTAGCTTTCTCTTATAACTAATAATATGACTGTAAAAATACGTGTACAGAAAGTACAAAACTATACTCCCCATTACCGAATAAAAGGCGTTAACATACATAACATATTAACCCAATATTTGTTTGTTTACACTCACCCAAATGGACAATCCTAAACCAGTCACTTTGTTATCTGTATCACGTAGAGTGCGTTAAAAGGCTCGACCTCATTAGTGAAAACCTCTTTACAAGTGAATTGCAAACAACAAAATAAACATAACCGATAAAAAGTCAGTGTATTGTTGTCATAAAACGTTTTATCTCGAACAATCACCTTTATTAATAGGTCGAGTGTTATCTGTCAACGGTAATCTGATGACACTTCCTGCTCACAAATTTACTCTTTGCAGTCATAAAATCCACAGACCACAGTATCGAACAGATTAAGTTAAATTAAGCTAAATGCTGGAAGCTGTTTGCTATGCGTCGATTATAAGTTTTCGCACTCCAAATATATATTTGAAATTTCATCATTGCAATTTCAATCTTATCGTTAACTTCATAATATACAATTTAAAGCAATTATACATTAACTACAGGAACACGAGCATTTTATAGTTTTTATGTGCTAAGCTAAAACCACTGATGACTTCAGCTAATTACCATTTAAACTGATTGATAAAGTCAAAGGGTTAATGATGTTGAAATGTCTTATTTTTTGTGCGATTACCGTGAAATACTAGTATAGTACAACACGTGAATGTATCAAAATGACCCTTATTATAAATATGTATTAGGGTTATATTTAATTTAAGTACCTGTTTTATTGACATTCACCTATTTTTCGTAGCAACAGTGAGCTAATATAAACCGGTTTAAAAGGCTAATTGGGTCGTCCTGTTGAATTCGAAATAAATTGGATTTGAAGAGGGACAATGGCGTTCGACCGGCGAGTGTCCGTGACATCCCTACGGACTATATTTAGAGTGTAAGATAATGCAATCACCCAACTACTAAGTGATTATCACAGTAGTCGCGTGTGCCTCGTCTACGTAGATACAACTAACTTCTGTTGCGAAATGCAACATGGGATAGTTATTTTCGGATGCTTTTAGATGGTATCGATTACGGGTAACAAACTAATTTTTAAAATCCATTCACCTTAAGTTCTGTTATCATATTTTGACTTTTTGATAAAGCATAACAGTGATAACGAAATACGTCGTTTGTTATTCTGATTAGCTATCGTCTGCTGCGAAAGTATTTTATAAAATCAAGGACCCGGTCGACCGTAACCTAGATATCAATTTATTCATTTTCATTTCAATATATTTTTCATTTTTGATAGAAAAGTTTATAAATAATCGATAAATACGTTAGATTACTCATCAATTAGGTTTTCACACAAACATGACTGTCTGCTCTGTGTATTTATGTTTACAAACACAAACCCGGAACTTTGACTCATATTTGTTTATACGTCAAGTGAAAACTGTAGTACGTTGCGTGCACGGGTAAGCAATTACGGGCATTGGTGTCCATTATTGTTCCATTAGGAATACCATTACATCGCAGACTAGCGATAAGCCTGCGCTATTTTTCACAGCTAAGGCTTTTAATTCTCCAGAGAAGTTACTAAATTGCAGAAGAAAGTTGTTGAAGATTCATAATTGCAAGAGTCACGTATCGAGTTCTTATTATACGTAGTCTACTTACCAATATAAAGTCTTTTCTTGGTCTGCCAGCGAGCCACAGCGCCCGCAATAAAGGAATGATGTCCGCACGCCGCTTGAATGCGCGCTTCCTCCTTCACCTGACGCACTGCACTCTCGTTCACTATCTGAAATTATTTACGTTACAATTTTACATGCGACTGATTCAGTCAAATGAAATTATCGCAATAGGGGAAACCTGCCCGATAATGAATCGAGTAACAGAAATTATTAAACAATGTCGGGTAATATCAACCAGTTTGACAATTAATACAGCTTTTTATATTGAATCAAAATACACCAAGTGCAGTCAAGGGTCAATAACCTAGTATTCTAGAAGTGTGATCGTTTCAAAACAGGTTTTGAAGTAAACAAATAATGTTTCTGTAGTGGAGTTATCATCTATATCAGACATACAATGTGAGGAGCACGCGGTGTAGTGATGGCCTATGCGTGTGTCACAGTCTCGCGATAGGGAAGACCGTTGCGTTCCGCACGACCGCCGGCGCAACGTGGATCCGCCACCTAATTACTACACCCTATATATTATCATAACGCTACCATCAATAACAAATACATTATAGCTATCGCATGTAAAGTCAATATTGCTAATTCATCACAAATCAGTATATTAAACACTAGCGTTCCAAAGCAGAGGTAAATGTACTCTAATGTACTTTGATCGAACGACTGTAGAATTGGTTTAGTCAAACTAGTTATTCTTCCTCATAATATTATGAAATAGGTACATAGAGTTAGTCACTAGTTGATCTCAACTGGCGAAATGCCACAGGGTATGTAAAAAATGGTGAATATTACATCATTTGTCGAGACGACTTTCAGATGCAACGATCGGAAAGCTGTCATAAATTTACTATGTAAAATAGTAGCTTCCGTCAGTTGAAAGTTGATTTAAAATCGACGGTGGCTTAATCATTAAAACCTAGTGCCTCAACAGACGAGTAATTTTTGTATGTATGTACTTACAATGTAAATAAAGTAGGTACGGATCGCAGATAGTCTACCCTTCAAAACTTCGTGCTCTTAGCTCGTGGAACTAATAACACGTGTTTTTGGTGCATTGCATTAAAGCCACGAGTTCCTGAACAACTATAACGTCTACGACGAAATATCTATGATAAGACGCATTAAAGTATTCGACTGAAAGCTTATCGCTGCGTGAAACTCATTTAGTGGTAATAAGTTTACATATAGGTCAACGTGATAAGGAGATTGACGATAAAAGCGCATGTTAGTACCTAAATAATGCATACTTTTTTTATTTTATCACAAACCTATTTCACAGGTGGACGTATTGTTGAAATTGAATGTGATTTTTCTTTTACCTCAGTCTTTTTCTCTTAGACGAAATATTAGCATTTCTGATCTATAAAAAAAATCGTACAGTAGACATTAATCGCTTATTTAACGACTCAATAACCTCGTTGAAGTCATTATACTTGTATAACATGACCTCATCACTTTAGTTACATCTTCAAGAGTTTAATTGTCTAAGCAAAAACTTTCCTACATAATCTGTGGTTACTGGTTAACATGGCAACATCGTTTTGGAACACTTGAGAAAATTTAAATAGGTTCATTTTATAATAATCATATTTAGAAAAACACATACATAATAATGCTTGAACGACTACCTATGTTACAGTAGAGAGCGCACTTAGAATAGCACATTACATCATGTTACGTTTTTTTCCTCATTTCAATAAAAAAACCTTTTTTCTAATGGTACTGGCAATTAAAACGAGTTGTATTGTAGGTCAGTTACTCTACTCCTTTGTACATACATTTGAACATTAAATATACTGATAACGTAATCGGACACCTTATCCAAGATTATAAATTATCATATGCCTGTTTTTTTTTGCTGATAAATACGTAATGTAGTCGTCACCTTACGAAACGTGGCGTATTTGACTCAGTATTAAATCGCTATAGAAAAACTGATATACCAATTCAAATCTGGCTACTAAGAAACTGATAGTATCCCGAATGTTACTATTGAGGCAATGTACTGCGTAAAAGATGATCTGTGTCGTCTTCGAATCGACCATGTACAACATTGGTTAGCCTACTAAAGCTTAAGTACTTACCTGACCTAACTGCCAAGTTGATAAACTAATTGTTAATGTCAATTTGATAGCAATCATTTTATGACTAGAACTGCATAATTATCTAATCTAATGTGTCAAGGAATATTATGATTTTAACAGTCAATGTCTGGTCTAAGTTTAGTTTTGTTGTATGAATAAATTGGGTTAAGTATATCATTCCCTATCTTATCTTTATCCTTAAAGTAAACAATCAAGATGTCTGCGACTTTGAAACGCGAGAGACAGTCTACTCGTTTCATCATTATGTAGCAAAAAAAGGCAAAAGGCACTGGACATTTTGTAAAAATTCATAGCAAAATATATTACAAAAAAAAGGTGCATGGTCAAAAAAAAGGGACTGTAATAGCAACACTGTGTAGAATAACAAAATGTCATAATGATTAGTGAAAGTTGGTAAATGGATAAAAAAAGTCTTACCTGTGACTTACTAAGCACTTTCAGTGCGTATTCTTTGTTTTCACTTATCTTCTTTACTTTATAAACTTCACCGAACGCTCCCTTAGCTATTGTCTCTTCTATTTGAAAGTCTTTCTGGAGTAAGTCAGTGGTGATGGGAAATTCAGGTTGGAATATTGATTCTTTGTGGGCAACAGGCCAGGCAGTCTTGCTTGCTTCTAGTGGATTTTTTAATGTGGAGTCATTCCATCTGTAATAGATTATTTAACAAAAACTGTCTTAGTTGCTACTTTGTAAAGTTCATAGGCAATATTTGTTTTTGTTTAAGTTTACAGCAAATTAATTTTAAATTATGGATGAAGCATGACCAAGACAAATTAAATTAGGTTTATGCATACTAATATTGTTAAAAATTGTGATATTTCATTAAAATTGTATTTATTATAGAAAAAAAATACTAATAATATTTCAGTAAATATGAGAGATGGCTTTATGTATTAATTACAAGTAGATTATAAGTCACTATTCTAAATACAAAACGATGTATTTTCATACTCTTGCACTACAGAACACTTAATACAACGAATGATTGCATGTAAATAATCAGATCAATGAACATAATATCATTGTTTCCGCAAGTCTACAGGATGTTGCAGTCATGAAATTATTTCCTGATTACAAGGTATCTAGGATAAATGGACACATAGTGTTGTCATACTCGAAAAATCTAAATTCATAGGCTGTAACAGTCAGATGTCCAAAAATTTTTTCTTATTACTACTATAGAAGAACTAAAAATGCGTCAATAAAAGCAAGAAAAAGAACAATGTAAATAAAAAATAGTTGGATATTTGTAGTTGCACCAATTAATTAGTTATAGCAATACAAGGACATTATTTGTTAATTCTTTGTCCTTGTATTTCATTTACCTTTTGCATTAGTTGCAAAGTTTTTTAATGGTTTTCTATTGTATACTCCTTGCATTGTATTTTGTTTGCTGTAAGTATGTAAGTGAGGACTATGGTTTGTACTATGTTGTCTATGCACACCATGTGCTTTAAGTGGGGGACAAAGGGCATATCTACCTCTATTAAATAAGTTTCTTAGCTTTACTGACAAATAAATAAATGTAAAATTATTCTGACAGTTTATATAAAAAAATCTTAGACATGCTCTCAAAACAAGCAAGTCATGTTTAAGTAAGATTTAGGTATTCCATTTTTTTAATATTCATGTTCAATAAAGATAACAACACTAACTATTGCAAAACTTTGTGCAATAGTGAATATTTTCATGTCATCAGATTAAGATAAGTAACATTATTTTTTACTTATTACAGGGCACAATCAGGCTAATGATAGAAAGAAAATAACAATGATTTGGACATAAGCAAACAGTTTAGTAATTGTATCAATTTTGTCACATCTAAAAAGGCTTATTTTATTACATTAAAATGAAATCAAACCTACAAATATAATGTAACAATAATGTTTACCTGCAATTAAGATAAAGTAAATCAATTATGAATAAAAGTAACATTTTTATAATGAGCATTGTATTGATGATTTATCATCTGTGGTATAGTAACTACAAGTTGTTAATTACTTAATAATAATTTCAAGATGTTAACTATAACACATTTACAAGACAATTTTATCTAAATTGCTGTAAGTAGGTAGGTAGTCAAAGTTATATTTATAATTGATTATGACAGGTATTTGAACATTATTGCTGCCTGCACATTATCATTAATTGATTCCTACTGGTTTTGATCAAAATACACCTAATTATCTTCAAGGTTGTTTTTGTTTGGACCTAGTTTTCATTCAGATACCCAATTTATGATAAACAAAAAATAAACACAAAAGATAAAACCAATGAAGGTAAGTGACCCTCAAAATACTGGGCACTTACAAAATGGTGCTAAGGATACTCTGACCAAATGGTGTGAAACAAACAAAAAAACAGCATTTTTTATATTCAAGGACTTTTGGTGAACCTATAGACATCAAGGTTTTATGTTTTATTTTAACTTTAATCTCATTAGCATATGAAACATATTGATAATAGCCATGAATTAAACTTACCATAATCATGGGTCACAGAACATCTGATCAATAAATTATAAGACATGCTGAATAAACAATGTCACTCTCATAAAATTTGAATTTACGTAAATATTATGAATAATTAATTGCTACAATTTCTATATTACTTTTAACTTTAATGAACATAGTATATATTTTACTACGATAATGGTCATGAAGTGGAAATAAGAATTTATGTAATTGTTACAAAAATGTTAATTTGAAACTGGCGCGATCTATTTGTAATCACAAGAAAGAACATGTTTGTTTTGACTAATTGTATATTGCATGTGTATACTAACCTTCGCCTAGAGACGCGAGACCAAGGCCGTGATGCACTGTACACCGACTGGTTGCTCGTAACACTGACGAAGGAACGCCCGCTGAGGTTGCCCACGAAATGGGAGAGACTGAACTAAATACAAAAATAAATTATGCGCCTAAACGTAACAAAGAACTGACACAAACAATAGATATTTTTACGAATCCCTCGTTAGCTGATTTCTTTAACACAAAGCAAATCCTAAAGCCACTACGCCGTAGCTTAAAGCTACAGGATTACAGTCTCTATTAACAAAAATATTAGTAACTCCGTGAGTTCAGCTGAGAATGACATTAACAAGTTTTTCGTTTCACTTACCTGACTAGTGAACGCCTGGCCGTCGCGGTCTGAATGCGTAGATTGTTTTTGATTCTTGTGCTCAGAGTTTTTATTATGCGTATTTCCCATTAAACTAAACTAAATGGCTTTAAGCGTGCCGTTTCAGGTATATTTTTATGTGTCTCTAAAAACTGTTGACTAATTTTTCCACCATGAATCGCCCATAAACAATCAACGCGGTGTTGCCATTAGATGGCCACTTGAAAATATAAAAAAAAATATTTATGGAACAAACAAACTTCATCCTAATGAAATTATTTGATTTACTGAATTTAGATTTGATTTAAATATAAAACAAACACTTTCATTTTGTATTTTCTTAGTTTTCTGCCGTAAATTATGTATAATCATACAAATGTTTACAAAATCTGACGCAATAATCACCCGCGAAATTCAAATATTCATGTAATGGTAAACTGTAGGATAGGTGGGGATAAATAACTACTGTGCTGGTTGTTTATGATTAGAATATTTGCTAAGTGTTTTTACAAAATGGATAAATAAATAAAAAACATTTTGCTAACTTTTAGTCTTAGTAAGAAGGTAGAGAACAAAAAGATATCGTAGGTAATTCCATATTAACTATTTCGTACTTAATAAAATGATGGTTGAAATGTTAATTCCAATCAAACAAATTGTAATTATTTCCCTACATGATGTACTTACTTACATTATTTGTCTAGTTACTTATATAGGTGGTTAGTCATATAGGTACTCGATGGTTTGGGTCAAGATACCCGAAGCCGTCCCGTAACCTTACAATACTTACTATTTTTACTTCGTAGGGACGGACAGTAAAACAACAGTAGAGCAAAAAAACTACAAAAAAAAAAGGATCAATATAACTTCGAAACCAACATCAAGTTATCTTGGGTCCAGTGTAGAGTTCGTGTCCAGTTTTTCAGACATTCATTGTCACGGTCGGTCGTATAACAATTAATCTTTTGGGCAAGTCGTTCTCGGATTCGGATCTTTCGACTTTAAGGATGCTTACATAATAACAAAGATTTTACAGTTGATACGAACACATCTGGGTACGGATACGGACACTGGAGCGGAGATATGAATAAGTTTGCATAAAAGTATAATTTGTTTTATTGTTAGGTAAGGTTCAGTTTAATTTTTTTTCTTGTGTAGTCACTCGGCCAATATATGGATATGTGCTTAGACAGGTTAGTAGGTATCTGTACTTAACTAATAAAGTATACTTAATGTAGGTACTTACTATTGTACTTGGGTATACCCAATATCTAAGTACAATGGTAGGTACCTATATTATTAGCCTCTAAATGTTGTAAAGTTGAATTAATGTTCTTTGTGCTGTTATGTTCATTTGGTTTTCTTTGTCTAAATTATTTTACGGCTATTAAGGGATTATGTGTAATAGTGAATGTTGATGAAGGTAAGTGTTTAAGTTTCCACTCGAGGAAGGAATTCGCAGCTTTTAAGGGCTGCTACGTGGTGGGACCTGCCACAATTCAGTGGTAGGTCGAGCCCTGCCGGGTGCGGTGAATCCGCAAGGGTGTCCCGGGTGACGGCCACAGGCAGAGGAGGCACACCACGGTGGTTTTAGCAGGTAAGAGTCCGGCACCCTGTCGTCCCCACGGCGAGGGAAGTCATGTAATGTTTAAATATAAATAAATATTCAAAAAGTAGGTAAATCGAAACTAGTTATGGAACTAGTTAGTACAGCATTCATATATATGGATGTATGCTGTACCTATGCCTGTATGTGTGTAAGTACTTACCTGCTAATAACAGCACAATAGTTTGTAGATGGTATGGTTGCCATGGAAACACTTATGGCATTGATAATAATAATATACGCTACCTACGTAAGTACTTTGTGCAAGTTACTTCTCTACCAGTACCTACCTTCTTGTAACTACCTATTATTTCATTTTAAAATTAGTATTAAAATGTAAAGATAGGTAATATAGGTGATACCAATTTCCACTCATGATATCAATTTAATTGCGATGCACCTCATCTATACTTCTATACTAATATTATAAAGCTGAAGAGTTTTTTTTTATATGTATGTTGAACGCTGTTGAAGGCTGTATGTTGAAGGCTGAATAATTCTTTTAGTTTTGGATAGCGCATTTATCGAGGATGGCTATAGGCTATAAAACATCACGCTACTACCAATAGGAGCTGAGCACAGCGTGTGAAACCGCGCAGAAGTAGTTAGTCATTCATAAAGCCCAAACAAGCAGAACTTGAAAACTATTTTCTATTTTGTTTTGAAGCTACCTACTACCTATATGTAATGTGTACGGTGTAATATTGTGCTACTACATCCTACATAACGATATTAAAAGTGTAGGTCTTAAATAAGTAGAGTATGACTCGATTTTTATAACATTTTTAGTAATAGGGATCGACTTCGAAGATTTTTTTTTTATTATCTGCTGTAAACTTCGAAGATATTAATCATATCGCACTTTGGTCAAGAATTTACGCTTTCTTAATTTTGTAATTTTTTTCCGGTACGATTCCACGGCGGGTATCGCCAATTCAAACATAAAAGAAATTAAAGTGAGGCCTATATAAAAACAAAAAATTTTGAAAACGCCGCTTAAATCCTGGATGCTCAGTGCTTTAGTAGTGACTTCATCTTTTATGTCGGTGTATCTGTACTGCTCCCACTTTCTTATCAGACCGGCTTCGAATATCATCATCATGTATCTATTGTACCGGTCTGTTAGTGGAGAATGTTTGGAAAGCACCATGGTCAAGTAATGGCTATGTATTCTGTCTCGTTCAGCGATGTGTAAATATTGTTCCCCTTTGTTATTCAGTTTGTTCCGTTTAATGTATCGACCCACTGAGCAATCTATGAGGCAAAATCGATGATTGTCACTTGCCATGCGAGTAATACACCCGTAAATATCCTGTTCGTACACCAGCCTTGAATTGATAATTCTGAACTTTTCCTCTGTGTCTGGAAGGATCAAATCAGGCGACGCCATTGCTTCGATAGGGTATCCTTTTTCAATAACATCTTCAAAGGTATCGACCTCTTTACCTCGTTTTGCAGCAGTGAAGAATGATATTATTTTGGCCTGAGTTGTAAAATTTAAGACAAAGAAGCTCCATAAACATATAGTTAAGAAGATACGAAAAGATTCGTACTTGGGTGGATTACAAAGATTTAACATTAGAACGTTCCTCCAGGCATTCATAAAATCTTTTCCTATTTGGTCGCAAGTGAAATGTCCCTTTTCAGCAGCTTTATAGAGAGAGAAGACCATCCAAATACATACGAAGCAACCGTAGAATACGAGTAAATATTTTAAATTCACTGTTAAGTTTTTCATTTGAAACAGAGTAGTTTCAAAGCCTGCGCGTCCTGCCACAATGCAAATACCGCTTTCCTTAAACGGAAAAGTAAAATCGATTTCTACAACAATGACATCGAATTGGTAAATAGGAAAGAGACACAGATCTCCCTTTCTACGGGCAAAGGAGAATATCTGGTCGATATTAACTTCGAAATTGAAAGGTTTCTTCATGACGCTCACACTGGGACTGAGATCAATACCAAAGTTCATGAGTTCAGACATTGTGTTCCAGATCATTCCATCGCGCGCTCGCAGCGTGTAACTTCCGTCTTCGTGCACGTCTATTAAAGAAAATGGTTCGACTTCAGTAACATATGATCTAAACATAAAACCATGTAAATTCTTGCTCCTGTCTTCAAACAGAATAAGGCTTTTCAGATCTTTAGTGGATTTTATGAGAATTGTGTCAAAACCAATACAGGTGCCAAGGTGTTGGGCCCGTAGTCTAGAAAGTATTGTCACATTATGACATTTTTCTACGCACGTTAATCCTTTTTCGAAACTAACAACTGGGATCCCAAGGTTCCTCCTAGTCCAACAGCCGAACTTATTGCTCGGTTGTACCTCATATTTCTCATTGACATACGGAGTATAATTGGACACAAGAAATGTGTCTTCTACATCGTTGTACTGGACCAGTATTGTATTAATGGCTTTATGGTACCATAAGCTGAAGAATATCTTCGCCATAACTTCTTTGTTTTCTAATCTGTTGTAATATAAAATGATGTTGGCTAGAGGGTGCCAGTAGGGTGAAGTAACTAATTTCACTATAAGTGCTTCATAGTCATTGAAATCCTGGCAGTTGATGACGATGATGTTAGAATGGTATGGGACTACATCATCTATGTAGTGGCCCTGTAGGTTATTTAGATTCATAAGGGCAAAAGTAAACGGCATATGCTTGATTTTGTTATAGAATGAAGTGGGCAGGTTGCCGACGCACATAATATTATTCCATCCATTCGTTTTCAAATGTGAAGTCATTATATCCACCTGAAATTAGTAACGAAAAGGTTTAACAGTTACTAAAATGTTTTTGAGTATTCCAATCCCCATATTACTATAGATACTTATTATACATGCTGCCTCATTGGCCGAGTGGTCGCAAGTGCGACTGCCGGGCAAGGGGTCTCGGGTTCGATTCCCGGGTCGGGCAAAGTATTACTGGGTTTTTAAAAATCTCAGTAGTAGCACGGAGTCTGGAAAAATGTGCCCAGTATATATGGCAATAGGCTCACCCCCTATTACATGGGACTCATAACATAAATAGTGAAAAGTGGGTGTTACATTGTACAGTGGCATTAAGTGCCGAAATGTGCACCTCTGCCTACCCCTTCGGGGATAAAAAGGCGTGATATTATTATTATGTTATATGTTATTATACACTTAATCAAGTAAATATTGAAAATAATGTAACATGAAACTTACTATAACTTCAATCTTCTGAGCGTCAGGATCAGGTTTGGTAATATTTCTGTAGTCGGCGAGGACTGCATTGACAAGAACAGCAAAAATAAGTATTGGGTACTTCATGATATGACCAGACGTCTATACTCTCTCATTTCTCGAATTGAACACCATAGCTTTCTAAATCATGATTGAAATTTATCTGTAATCACTGAGTAAATGTTCTAAAAAATACGTAGGTAATATCAAATAAGTGTAAGTACATTAAAGATTAAAGTACATGATCACTGCTATCATAATCACCGAAGTGCTTACAAAATACTAACCACAATTCCCTAAAAGCTCCAATCTAAATGATAATACTCATTTTTGTAAAGGTTGAGTATTATCTGTGTAATACTAAATTGTAATGGTCAGAAAACAATCGTATGATAGTAATTATAATTTTACCAAAAGGCCTGTTTCACTATGTTTGATTAAGTTCCGTTTATCGTATTTTCCATGCAAAAAATCAATAACCTGCTATGCAAGTAAAAGCTTTATGAAATGACACTTTGTACGTATAATATAAACAATATTCGATAAAAAATATTAATATAGTTGAAAAAATAAAACAATCCAATTAATTTAGTCGATGTAAAGGATGGCCAAATTACAGCCCGTGTAGTTTGATAGTAAATAAAAATAAGACCAAAAAATTAACAAAAATATTTGCTTTATTTCATCTTCAAGTCTTTATAATACTAAAATACGTTAACAGCCAAAATATAATTCCTAAACCAAACCAACGACTAACATGATATATTTTTAACTAAATGCCAATGAACACTTTTTACTCAATAAATATCTTTAATACGTACAAAATATTGTCTATGGGGCATAAAGATTCAAAAAATGGGCATAAAATAGATATCAATCGCCATTGTTGCTAAATGTAGTTACAATAATTATGAGCTGTAGGTATCCAAAAATAAAATGTAAGCATCATGTAGAAAAAAAATATTAAGACGTAAAGCCTATTCTCGTAACCATTCAAGGGTGCTCGACTAGTTTCAAGAACAATCGGGGCTCATAACCATGCGTAAGCACGACATTGATTTCCACGTGGCTTGAAACTAGTTGAACGTCCTCGGTACTACATGTAAGTAAGCGGCATTTTATAATATGTAGGTATATGTCTCAGGATAGTTATTATATAAATCAATTATTAAATTTTATCACAACTACATAATTATATGGCATGGTTGTGTTTGATTACATCAGTTTACAATCAAAGTTATTTAGTTGTTCAGCAAAATCGGCGATAATATGCTATGCATGTACTGTTGTGTTGTATATTCTAAAAATATGTATAAATTCACGTTACTTTACCTAAAATAAAATGTTTGTACAATATTATCAAATTAAAATGCTTACAATTAATAAGATAATATAAATATTAAAAATATTGTTGCTGAAACTTCATTTAATAACAATCATGGCTAAAGATCATGGCTGTAGATTTTCGGGCAGATTGTTAGATATTGTTATAAAGTGGAGTTTCATCAGCTTACATAAAAATAATAAAGAATAATATAGTAAATACGACATACCAAAATAAATAAAATAGTCTTTTCACCTGGTGTTTTTGAAGTTAACTGGGTTTGACACACTGAATTCGATTTCAGAGGGTTAAGTATGAGTTTCTTTTACGTTTAACTCTATCGAAACGAAACCGCGTTCGGCGTTCTGATTGGCCGGCTTCAATGAACCAAGCGTAAAAAATACGTTAATCGGAAAAAAAAAACGCATACTAAACCCTCAGTGCACTTTTCCCACTGAAATGTATTAGTGTTAATGGGCTACGACATAAGACCAGTATTTTGCAAAGGATTAATAAGTAATAGTCCGTAAACCCCAATATGAATGTTATTCACATTCTTGACTGTAGTAGACTTGTGTTATATAGATATACTAGCGGACCCGACAGACGTTGTCCTGCATATCCACTTGAATGTATAAACACATATTCATTCAAATTAGTTTAGGATAAATAACCTATACACTGACTGCAGTCATTTAAATCGATCAAGCCGTTTAGGAGGAGTTTAATGACATACACACGTACAGCAGAATTATATATATAAAGATATATAACACAAATAAAAATTAATTATTATGTTTTGGCGACTGTCGCACTGCTACTAGTCGAGTTCCTCGTCAAACAATTACGTGAGTAAGCCGAAAACATGATAATTAAATGTCTCGTGAAAGTTTTAATTTAAACACAAATAAATATTATAATATATCAAAATAGTTTAAAGACTTCTATTGACTATTGCTAATCGAAATGCTACGTTTATTGTCAATGCTATAAATAGAACAATAATCGTTCAAACCTAATGAACTTGTTCCACAGCCTGCTAAAAAGATTTGCACATCACGATTTTACATACTCACAAGTTATTTTTCATAGTAATATATTAACTGATTTCAATGAAACTCAATAATACTCAAACGCAAGGATTAAATATTTTATTAAAACATTTGTAGGTTTGTTTGTATAAAAAACCATGATGAGTAAATACTTTTCAAATGGTGCAATGGCCTTCACCTGCCAAGTCAGGTTGCTTTTTATTAAAGCTTCCAAGTAATTCAGCTTATAAAACACCTTTAAGTTCCCCAAAATACAACAGAAAGATAAATAAACGTTCAATTGTTCACAAACTTTTAAAAAACACCCTTTAGGAATTATTCGTCAAAAAGAGAAGCAAATCAGCTTATTACTTTGCGATGCTTGCGCGATGTAAAGATGTTTGTATTATATAAGCCCCGGTTCAGATCGAAATTGTTCGAATTTGCTCGAATACTTTACGTAACTAAGCTGTAATTTATTAAAAAAGACCTTGGGTATGTTAGGTTTTCCTTTAGACTCGTAACAATTGCTAATTTTTCTACTCCAGTTTCATCTCACCTACTTTCTCTTAGCTAGATACTCTTGCAGTTCTTTCCATGCACCTTCAAGTTGTGTGTCCGTGTGGTCTGTGCTCCAGTTCGGACTGAATACTACATTGGCCACGGCCACATGGTCCTCGTTAGACACTTGGGAGTCCACTCTCTTGGCCGCCTCCTCCGCTGAGAGGTTGTCTCGTTTCTGTATCCTTTTTATCGCCTGTGGATAAAGAATGGTAGATTAATAATATAGGAAGTATTTGATTTTTTAAAGAGATAGTAAGTGAAGGACAAGACAGAAATGATGTGAAAAGCGATAACACAATCTGGAGTATCTCATTTAGTATTGCGGGTGACTTAGGTTCACTGATTGCTTACCGTCATCTCGTCTCACTTACCAAATTAAAAAAAAAACTTAAAAAAATTCTTTGTATACTGACCTCATCCCTCGGTACGATAACGGACCACAGTTGATGACAGTACTTGTACCACTTGGCTCGCACCAACACGGCCGCCTCCATGACCACGACACGGTGGCCTTGTTCACCTAAAGCTTTGATGCGACGCTGCGCCTCCGCTATCACCTCTGGCCATACTAAGCTGTTCAGTTTATCTAATTGTTTCTAAAATAATGATAAGACATATTCATTAAACGTGCACATTTTTTGTGGTGGGGATAAATTAGGGCATTATGTTGAAATATATGTTTTTCTGTGGAAATATAGGCGTCGTTCGTGTCGGAGACTACTTATACCATTTTTTTCGTATCAATCCACATATATATCACAAGTATGGGGCGAGAAGTGTAAATTAATTATTACTCATACGGCTCTATGCGAAATGAATCATCGATAGAATTTATACTTTCTTAGTTTGGAATAAAGTTGAAAATCGTGTTTACCTTATCACTAAAAACGATAGATCCAAGCTTCTTCCTGTCCACTTCTCCGGCTTCTGTGATAACTTCCTTGCCAAAATTCTCAGATATCGTACGGTTGAGTTGCAGTCCCGGTTTGTACAGTTCGTGAGCGATAGTATCACAGTTCAAAATTGCTGCGCCTTTTTCCCTGTAAATAAATTATATAAATTCATGTATTGTGTTGCACTTTTATTCCACCGTGTGAATGATGTTTCTATGGAGACCCATCATTTCTTTTGACGTACGACATACGTCGAGTATAATGGCCTTAGTACGAGTTCGTTTCACGTTTAAAGTAATCGAAACGAGACCGCACTCGGCGCTCTGAGTGCTAAGCACGAATAACTATAATATTCGTAACGCTACGATTAGTTGGTTCACTGAAGGCGGCCAATCAGAGCGCCGAACGCGCTCGATACTCTTACGTTACGATTGCGATAGTTATTCGTTCTTAGCATTCTAACTAGTTAGTTCATTGGAGCCGGCCAATCACAGTGCCAAACACGTACTCGTTTCGATTACTTTAAACGTGAAACAAACTCATATTACGTCCTCTGTTATAGACTCCAAACTATTACCACCAAGAATTAAGGGATTATAATAATTATACTAACCCGAGGGTATCAAATCCAAGACATGCGATCATTACAAAACCATTCAACCATAGAGGTAATAGAGTACATTTACTGTTATTCGTTACGCGTTAATACATAGTTCAAAATAATAAAAGAAAAATAATAAAACATACGTACTTTAATTTTTGCAAAATACGAGTTTTTCCGCTGGCAATACCCCCGGCCAATCCAATCACGTACGGCCAATCCGGGATGTTGGGATTAGGCTGAAAAGCAGAGTACCTACTCATATAAACAAAAATAAAAGAGATTTAATTCGCTTCATTAATGGTAAATAACAAATTAATAATTATAAATTGTGTTGTCAAAAGTTTTGCATAAATTAGATAATAATATGTTTAAGATCATTATTAATAAGGGATTCCATTTAATTATATATTTAAATACTTAAACATCATTACAGTGAATATCTGTTGTGTAATACATATTTACATGAGATGATCATAAACAATCAAGAACTCTTTATTCGGATAGAAACAGAGTATGATATGATTAAGGTTTAGCGGCTTCCTCATAAACCACTGTATCCATTAATGAAAACCGCATGAAAATCAATGTAATTATATTTTCCTTTATATTTTTTTTTAAATTCGATGGACCGGCGTTTATATTTTTTTTTAAATTCGATGGAGCGGACTACGTTGCACAGCACGTTGATCCATAAGCAACCTATTCACTCGGGCCTTGAAGACATCCAGGTTATACCCTTCAGGAAACACAACACAGACCAGTCTGTGTTGTTGCCAGAGGCAAAGACTTCTCATTAGCAGCACGCACAAGAAAACTTGATGCGTAGCGCTTCGTGCATGTGTTGTCTTGTCTTGTGGTACGATGATGGAAACTTACGCCTGTGTCCGAGGCTTTAAAGCCGGGCCTCCGCACAAGCGCATAATCGTTGATGAGCTTCTTGGCACGCTTCTCGATGTGCTCTAACGCGTCCAGCTGATATTTATCCGAGCTGTCCCAAAGATGAGAACAGTACTCCACACGGGACCGAACTTGTGCTTGGTACAGGCTCAGCAATTGTTTGAAGCGGCGTGAAGTACCGTCTCACTCTCCATAGGATACTCAACTTCCTACCAGCCAGTGGCGCTTTCGACAGTATATAGGAGCCAAAGTTGAGTGTGGGCGTCAGAGTTACGCCAAGAAGCTCAACATGATCACTAATCGGAGCGGATACTTTCCGAAAAGTAAGAGTTTGACTCCGTTTGGTTTTTTAAGTATACCACTGTCAGACAGGCAGTATAGACTGATGTTGTAAAACAAAGAAATAAAGTCAGAAAATGAAATAACATTCTAGAAAATAACTTACTTTTGGTTCCCTTATGATTTTGCCCAGCATTCTCATCCTCTGGTTACTGGAGCTGACCTTACACTCTTCGGCGGCGGTAGTGCACGCATGAGAGTCCTCTATGACATTTATCACGTGGACGTCCATCGGTGGGATTCCCTTCTCCTCTCGCTTCTCATTTATCTTATTAGCTCCTCGAACCGTTTCCTCACTTACCACTATTAACTGTAAAATTAAAACATTAACTTCGTTTAAACCATTAGTGAAATTACATATACTTATGCTTAACCTTTTGAGCGCCAGGGTCACAAATACGTGACAAGCGAAAACTGTCCCTGAGCGCCAACGACACAAATATGTGACAAAAACAGCGGTACATTAAAACACGAAATAAACTATTTAAACATTACTTTAATGCCTATTTATTTATATACCTGTAAAATAGAAGGTCCAAAATTTATTTATTTCCATAAAACTAATTAAATTGCATTATAAATATTGAGAAATTTTACGTTAAAAAGAAAGAAATAAACTCTGAAAAAAGAATGTCCTCACACGCCAGAGTCATAACTGCGTGACCGCTAGTGATGTAGCGCATGTTGGATAATATCATTATTTCAAATCAAAGATCGATTCGAAACTTTCCTCTGGAATATATTATTTTAGGTATAATTTGGTACTAGGATAAGCAGCATTAATTTTATAAACCAGTCTTAAAAATCATTCAATAAGCTACATAGTCAAAAATAAATTTGGTTGGTACGATTTCGATATTCACTAATCCAACTCAAGCGCATCCCTAACGCAACCCGAATTATCAGTACCCTGTACGCCATGGTCACGACTAGACGACAATATCGTGACGTCACAAGCGCGGCGACCAGAAATTAGTGAAGTGAATGAATAATATTTATGATTAATTTACTTGTGATATCGAGTTCAAGATTTATATTTAGTGACTATTATAATGAGTGGGAATTTAATGACTACGGAAGAACTTCTTCGCAGTTCAGTTTGCCTCAGAGAATAGTAGCGAGAGTATTTGACTCGAAACTTTTATTCTAAGTGTGGGCTCCATATTTACCTATAACTTCGTGGAATAAAGTCTGCCAAAAGTTCCTTTTTCAGCCACGGTGCGCGCTGAGATCGATTTCACTGTCCCCACCACCCACTTTGCACCCAGCGAATTAGATGATCAGAATGCAGGTTGCATTGTAGATTTTGTATAATTTTGTTCTATTATTCAAAAGATTTATTAGTATAAGACTGATTGGTAATTGTGATAATTATATATAATCGTTAATTGTTTTAATTTGTTACTTTTTATGCCAGGTTTATAGAACTTTATATTAAAAACATGATACATAGTACATACTGTATAACATTTTATTAAAATTTTCTATTTTTCTTAGTTTTTATTTACCTTCTTAACCTATTTCAATAATATTTTTTAAGTACCTGTTACATTCGGAATTATAAATCTGATTTAAAAACGTGTTTCATTTATTAAAAATAATATTGTACTAGAACATCGATAAACGAGATATTACGTTGCCATCCTTATTTCGGAAGCGAAGTAGTTATTAAAATGGCGGGCCGTCCACGCCATGGTCACAATATGAAGACAGCAGATCAAGAATAGTGTTGTACCTACAGTTATTATATTTAAATATATTGTAGTCTCATATCTGTTATTACGGTATTATACAAGTCTGTAAATAGTGTATAACTATTACTTTAATAGGAAGAAATGTAATGTTGAATTAAATTTCAATGTTATAAGGACATTATATTTCGAAATTAAAGACGAAAATGAAAATAAAATTGATTATCGATGAAGTTTTGGAATCCCTATTTTTTTCGTAGGTATTTGCGGTGAATTTGTGGCCTGGCGTTGAGGGCAAGCTCATGCGTTTTTGCTCTGGCGTTCAAAAGGTTAATCCAAATAGTAAATACCAGTGGAGAAGAGAAAGTGAAAATCTCTATTCTTACTCTTTTGAATAGAATGTACTTTACATCTTTAGTTAAATAAATAAATCATTATCACTTAAAATAATTTTTTTACAGGTGCATTTGATATTTATTTTTGCCATGGATTGTCCAGGGAGGATTCTTTTAGAAAGTAAAACATTTACTTATGAGTAAAAACAGTACAAAGTGTATATTAAAAAGTAGGTACCTGAAATTTAGGATCATCTTTCGTTGGGCCGTAGAGGTCCTTTAAGGGAAACAAATTGTATTCCAAGTCCGGATTGATGTCCATTAGGAAATCACGTACTTCTTTTATTCTTATGTCTACCGGTTGTATTAGTTCCGGTATAGTTTTAACTGAATGCAAACAAAACAACTAATTAAATACATAAATAAAGTATGCTCTATTTGTAGGTCGTTTGAAACGTTTTTTGAACGCACAAAACCGTCAAAAAACACCAGTCTTCATTTTTTTTTGTCTGCTTAATGCTAAGTTATGCTGAACGGCTTACTTTGTAACATGTTGACGTCAGTAACTCCGACAGTTACCGACTTAGTGGCTCGCAACACAGCTTGTGACAGCAACAACTTATGTCCATTATGTAACCGGTCGAAGGTACCACCCAAAACGACATTCTCGTAAGTTCTTACTTTTTCTAAAATGCCGACAGGTTCTTCATCAACATCTGAAAGATAAATAAATTGTTTTAATAATATTTCATAACCATTAACCTTTTTGTCCACAGCTTCGCTGGAGATGGTTAATCAAACATGACTCAAAGTCAAAGTCAAAGTCAAAGTCAAAGCATTTATTTCAATTAAACCATAGTTTGGTGCTTTTGAAACGTCAACAAATACAAAATAAATAATAGTCTGTCAGTCAGTCCGTCAGTGAAACTAGGTGAAGCTAGGTGCTCATTCCAAAAAGTAGATTCGAATGGAGAAGAACGAGCAAGAAACTCCATTCGTTACTCTTTTTAAAAAAAGTATGTTCTACAATGTCTCTGATACATATTTCAATACTGTACGCATATGTAAGAACAATGCAAAGACACGCTTGACGCATTATACTAATAACTTACAAAAATTAAAAAAAAAAAAATTAATAAAAATTAACTTAAAGTCCAACATGGTGCTCACATATGCATACTGACAATCCATAGAATTAGTGCTTCTATACAAGAAAAGGAAACTCTTTGTTTCAATAAAGAAATGCTCCATGCCATAAGGAAACTAGATTGTCTACATTAGAATTAAAGTGTTAAATTATGTATTAAAATACCTACTATTGGAATTTAGCTACTGACTACATTTGAGTATTGTCCAGTGGAGCCGAACCAACATGCTGCCAAGCATTCTTATCTTCAAGATAATCTGTCAGTGTGTAGTAGGCTTGATTACATAATTCGCGCTTAATATGTTTTAAATTTACTTTCACTGAGATCTAGTATGCTATTTGGTATTTTATTATAGCATTTAATACCTAACCCCATAAAGGATTTCTGTACTTTGGACAGTCTGAATTGCGGTATAGCTAACTTATTTTTGCCTCTAGTATTAAAATTGTGTCTATCGCTTCTTTTTTCAAACAATTGCCTATTTTTCCTTCTACATTATTTTTCATATATATATGACAGGGCACCGTTAAAATATTTATCGTTTTAAACAATTCTCTCAGCGATTCGCAACGGCGTAAGTTATATATTGCTCGGATAGCCCGCTTTTGTAGAATAAATATTGATTCTATTTCTGCAGCTCGACCCCACAACAAAATGCCGTACGACATAATGCTGTGGAAATAACTAAAATAGACAAGCCTAGCTGTATCTACGTCCGTGAGCTGTCTAATCTGTCTAACTGCAAAAGCAGCTGAGCTCAATCTCCCCGAAAGCGCCTTTATATGCGGACCCCATTGTAGCCTATTGTCTAACGTAATGCCTAAAAATACTGTCTCGTCGACAAATTCTAACTTTTGACCGTTCAAAACAATATCACTATCGTTACTACGCACGTTTGGTAAACTGAATTTAATACATTTTGTTTTTTTCTCATTAAGTGCTAGATTATTAATGGTGAACCAATTATGCACTTGAAGAATGGAGCTGTTTACGTCGTCAAGATTATTTGTACGTCGATCTATTTTAAAAATGAATGATGTATCATCTGCAAAAAGCACCATTCGTGGTTCATTTTAAAATATAAATGGCAAATCATTTATATAGACTAAAAAGAGAAAGGGACCCAATATTGAACCTTGAGGAACGCCCATATTCATCCCAGAGCCCTGCGAGTTAATACCGTTAACATGAACCTTTAACTGTCTCTTCTAAATAAGATCTCATAACACGGAGCGCAGAGTTTCTTATCCCGTAGTGATCTAATTTCAGCAAAAGTGTCTCGTGGTCAACGCAATCAAATGCTTTTGAGAGGTCACAAAAGACACCAATAGCATCCTGTGCTTCCTCCCAAGCACCAAATATTTCCTTAATCAAAGTGACACCGGCGTCAGTTGTACAACGACCTTTAGTGAAACCGTATTGTTGTTGGTGAAAGATGGAATTTTTATTAAAATGATGAAGCATCCGAGACAGCATCAACTTTTCAAAGACTTTGCTGAGAACCGGCAAAACAGACACTGGCCTATAGTTGTTAGGTTCTTTAGTGTCACCACTTTTAAATAGTGGGATAACCTTACTATATTTCATTAGGTCAGGGAAAACACCGTCATCTATACATTTATTGAAAATCACAGCCAGATATGGCGCTACAGTTTGGATAAGTGACTTGCAAACTATTACCGATAAGCCCCAAAGATCCTCCGTAGATTTGGTCTTGATTTCTTTAAAAACTTTTATAATTTCTAGAGGATTCGTATATCGAAAACTAAAGTCGTATTGACATGATTCTATGTTGTTCTTAAGCAAAGTTACAGATAGGTTTGCTGATGACTTTAAATGTTCAATTGTTTTAATAGGAATGTTAGTAAAAAAATGTTCAAACTCCTGGGCTACATCTACGTTTGATGAAATCTGTCCCCTTTCGGTATTTAACTCTCCTAAGTCTAAAAATATATGTATGTACAATGATGTTTTACTATTAATTTTATTAATATTCGATTTGATGTCAATAGAGTAGAATCAATAGGCTCATCCCCTATTACATGGGACTCATGACAGCATTATAGCTCAGCTATACAGTTTAAACTGTCAAACACCAAGCGGTCACCGGTGACCGCGACCTATTGTTCTTTAATTGTGTCTATAAAACCGGTACTCGACGAGTTAAGTAATAGTTTCTAAAAGTGCATTACTGAAATGTTTTAAATTTTATCAACGGTTTCAGCTATGGTTATTATCATAGTTATTGCATGACTTGTAAATATACATATAAATCTTATCACATTTTGAATATATAATAAAGAGATAAGAGCTAAGTTAATAATATTTTATTTTTTACATTAAACTTTGTTTTCTCTGAAAAGGAAACAAGTCATCCTTACGCAATAAAATCAAATGCCAAAGTGTTTGTTCTTCTTTCACGTCATAACACACACTCGGTAACTAATTATGGTACCTATGACATTTTATGACATTGAACTTTCAATCATTGACTGTACGGTTGGCGCGGTGGCTGGGTATCTGGCTACCGCGCAACGTGTTGCGGGTTCGATTCCCGCACGGAACAACTCTTTGTGTGATCCACAGATTGTTGTTCCGGGTCTAGGTTTTATTGTATGTTTGTAAATGCACCCACAACACAGTAGAAAATCCAAGTATGGAGCAGATTACACTACTGCTATGACAAATTAAATTCAACAACTTACCAAGGTTTAGGACTCTACAACCACTTCTTATAGTATTCACAGAGCTCTTCAGGCTGTCTATATCACTAGATAATTCACTATCATACAGTACTAGGTCAATTGGAAAGTTTGTGTTCTCATTTCTCACTCCACCTTGTTTCAATATCAGTCTTACATCTAAATGATTGTAATGAGACGTCGCCTGGAAAGACAAGACAAATAGTTTTTATAATTTAAAATTCCAATTATTACTTTCAACACAACGGCTGAAATGTTGCAATTTTTATTTAAACTGTCAAACACCAAGCGGTCACCGGTGACCGCGACCTATTGTTCTTTAATTGTGTCTATAAAACCGGTACTCGACGAGTTAAATTGCATTTTTTTATACTACATATCTGAAAAGTACCCACTTTTCAGATATGTAGTATAAAAAAATGTAATAAGTAGGTAACTGAATATGTGAAGAGGCTGGTTTCAACACCTAACAAATTATGGGGTTAAGTCTAATTTTAGAAGTCAGCAGCCTAAGGTTGTAGCTTTGGGGTGGCAAATGTGTATGTGTGTGCATTGTATTATCACATTGACAGCCTAAAATTGGCCACTGCTGCCCAAAAGCATATTCTTGGTTTGAGCATTAATCACTATGCTTGCTCAATTGGGCTCGCTGTCATTGCAGCGGTAAGCCCCCCCCCCTCTTTGAGGAGTGGCTTGAGAGATGCTATGGCGACCTCACCTACCGCCTGACGCAGGTCCTCACCGGACATGGAAGTTTCGGGAGGTACCTGTGTCTGATGGGGCGGGAGGAAACGCCCGAGTGTCATCACTGCGAGGACCGCCCTGAGGACACGGTGGAACACACTGTAGCGGTATGCCCTGCGTGGGCTGAGCACAGGGAAGTGATCGGCAATGGCGACCTCTCGCGACCGGGCCTAGTGCAGGTCATGATGCGGAGCGAGGTACACTGGGATGCCGTCTCCTTCTTTTGCGAAGCCGTTATGCTAGCTAAGGAGAAGGCCGGACGCGTGAGGCAGAGAAGCGCTACCTTCTCGCAACCCAGCCATCGCGAAGGACACACCAGCGTGGGGGATCGCGGGACGATCTTCGGCAACCGTAACCGCGGCGTACGGCGCGTCCATTTCCGCGCGCACCTCAAAGAGCCATCAGACCACCACAGATGGGGCACAACAGGGCCGATGCCGATTCGGAGAACCTAACCGGATACCGGGGCTCCGGCTCAAGTTGGCACTATATTATACTAGGCTCAATTCCAGGATCCATTTTAATACTTAGGTAGATTTTTAGTTCCGGTACTTGTCTTACCTTACAATAAACATTTTCAATTTGTTTGCTTAGCATAGGCAATGACGCTTCAGTGTTTTCCTTAACTCTTAGATACAAAACTCTTTGCACTAACTTTGAGGCTCTTTGGCATACAGCATAGGCCTTTGCAGCACTTGAAATAAACACATATCCATTGTTTGCCATCTCATGAGCTGAAAATGAAAACAGAATAGAATAGAATAAACTTTATTGTACACCATTAATTATTTATTGGTTAAAAATAAAATATATGACAATAATACAGCCATTACTTAATCCCCAATAATATAGTAAAGTACTTGATGTCTTTAAGATATATAAAAAGCAACTAGATGAATGTTTAACGACGAGTCGACAAGATAATAATACGATTCAAGGACATTAGCTGTTATCATTATCATTCATTACAAATTGTTTAAAATTACGATGTGCAGGAAGTTAACTTCTAAATAAAAGATAAATGTGAATAACTATTACTGTGGTTATGCTACCCACCTGTTGGACTCATCACAAATATATATGACACAATTACTGAAAGCACAAAAACCACGATAGGAGCGGTGTAACCAATATACATTATTTTATTACGAACTAAAGTCCAAAGGTTGACTTATTTCTACCTACTGAATATACATGAAACTGATTTGTGCAAATTTATTATACCGTATGATCACTGATAAAGCACTACTCCTTCAAACGATCAAGTTAAATTTGCGTACACACTAAAAACATCTAATTAATAAATAACAACAATAATATTATGATCCTACGATATCATATGGTTACATATGGAACGTGATTAACATTAACATATTTATTATATTACCTAATCGATATAAATAGGGTTTGTGTTATTGAAAATAAAACAAAATAAAATTGCTTTTCGGGAAATTATCTCGCGGATTTTCGCTCGAGTTCAACAAAAACGAAAGTTAGGTTACTTCGTTTTGTCAAATTTGACAAACAACAAAGATGACATCTGACAGCCAAATCTGTTTGACGTTTGACAGTTGTCAGATTTTGTCTATGACTTTATTACTTTTCATATCTATGAAAACTTAACTTTTTCATCTTTACAGATTGTCAATTCCAAAGAGTATATTAAGTAGGTAATGTTAGAAGCATAGACAAAAAGGAACGAAATGTCATCGCGTAGCGGGAAAATATAATCTGTGGTTCGAACAATGAAAAAGTCAAGATGGCGGGAACTCGGAAATTATTGAGACGGTGTATTTGGTGTTGAGGGAATTTTATTCTATTTGAAAGTCAATTTGCCTATTCATGTGTTATTGTTGTTGTTTTTCTTTCCAATTAATAGTTATGGTTTAGCTAGTTCTGAATTTGTAATTGGATTTCGATGTTAACAATATAAGGTGAATTGTAATGGTGGTACTCTTTATTTCTCCTGTCTCCTGAGTTTCTAAAATCCAATGTGGTATAAAACAAATAAGTTACTAATATCAAAGAGCAAGGTGAACTCTATGACAGTTTTTAAGTTTTCTAATATCAGAAGTGGGATACGATTATTTTCCATGCGTTCTGACTTTCTATGTAGATAATACTTACATGATACGGCAAATTGACTATTCAAAGTTTTTCATTTGTTTTATGTAAGCTCGTATTCATGTACCTACTTAGTAGGTACGTTGTGATCGAGTTATTGTGGCAAATTGTGGTAACGTATAACTATGACTGAAACTTACGGTGAGTACGTTCCAATTCCCGTTTGAAAAGCTATAATGCTTTTGTGTATTTGTACGTGTAAGCTACAAATAAATAAAATTGTGAACTCAATGTTTAAACTATTCCTACTAATTTTCTTTTAAGTTAAAATCTTTAACAATCTCAAGTTCTGTCATTGTAATTTGTTATATCTATGTACCTATGTCCTTTACTGTTACAAACAGTAAGGAGAGACAATTAATGTCACGTAGGTACTGAAGTGATTCTGCTAATATTCCTAGGCGATTCTGCTAACATGGCTTGTGTAAAGTAAAGTGAACTGAAACACTAAATTTTGATTTGTTTGACTGCATGGAGGAGTGATGCTGCCAATTGCTGGTGAGGAAACGTGAGCTCAACACCGGTGCGCCTGCCTGTGCTGACGTCGCTACAGCTACCGTTCATGACTGCGGCAGTAGCTGAGCGTCGATGGTTGGTGGCAGTAGGTGAATTGACTTCGCTTGGACTGCTATGCAAGCTTGGCTCACTGTGTTGTAGAAGCAATACATTCAATGACCAGGCTGGTGAGATCTAATCTTACTTTTATATTTAGTATTCTTTATCTGCTAATTTTTTTGATCAACAATATAGACAGCAGACCTGGTATGAAGCAGTAAAATACTAAGAATATAAAGTTTGAATTATTAAAATAAAAATGAGTAAATGTTTTACAACGGCAACTGCTTAAAAGCTAAGTCCAAGGCTCAATGCATGGGTTACCATTGGTTGTATTTAGAGTAATGTGAAGGATTAGTTTGTGAAACGTTTGTGCTTTTGAATACGTTGTACGAAGTCATGAGTATGAATACTGATCAATATCCAACATATGAATGCTGAATATGCTTATTGATTACTGTTAAAAGTTACAGTTAAAGTTAATGGGTCGATGATAAGCATATTACAGCAGCAGTAAAATTGAACCAAGTTTCAACTATAAGTTGTTGGTGTTGTTTGTTACAAAGCAAAATACATTAACTGTTAACAAGTTAACTAATATTAACATTGTTTGTATTCTTATGTTATCAGGCATTATTTGTTATGTTTACACTTGAGAGAGGTCAATACATTAACAAACTTTTACTTAACTTAATGTATGTATTGCGTTTGAAGTGGCATCTTGCAACTGAATTTTGAATCACAAATCTTTAGCCGATGGAGCTGAAATTTTTTATGTGTTCAGGTTTAGCTGTGAATTCAGCTGAAGTTTTACATCTTTTATCAAAGTAATGTAATCCAAAGAATAAAGATTAAAAATCAGAACAGGAGAACTGCTGTATGTTGATGAAAAACATATTTCTCTTCTAATATGCACCATTCACCACAAGTTAACAACTTGTGCAGAATTGTGAAAAATGCTACATGTTATTGCTTGAATCATGTCTTAGGTAGTTGTACAGGGAAGTACTGTTGTTATAATGGAAGACAGCAGTATGTGTATGTTTCTCCTTAGCAGCGTTACCCTTGATAGAGTGTTGATGTGGTTGTTGTACTGTAGTGAAGGTAGGTTGCCAGTATGCACCTCACAGTTACTGTAATCCATAATATGTATGTCCGTTCTGCACTTGTTTAGCAAATTTGTAAATACAGACTTAATTTGGTTTGTCCACCGCATGAGTAACCTCTTGGGAGGCCGAGAGTGCTTTCTACTACCGGTGAACAAGCTGCTGTATGGATGTAGTTTTTGGGGAAACACTACAGATAGTGATATTGCTTTTAGGGCACAAAAACGATGCGTACGAGCTATGTTTGGTCTTCAACCAACAGACAGCTGTAAGCCGTACTTTATCAGGCATGGCATCCTTACACTTCCGTCTCTGTATATACTTGAGATAGCAATGTTTGTGTATAGAAATCCTCACCTTTTCGAACGGCTGCGTGATATTGTGCCGCGAAATCGGCGGAACAATAATAAACTGTGTCTTCACACAGCAGTAACGAGTCTTATGGGAAAGAGTCTTTTATGTATGGCGCCAAAAATATACAATAAAATCCCAAACGACTTAAACATTTCAATATTAGTATATTCAAAAATAAATTAAAATCAATTTTATCCAAGAAATGTTATTATAATGTAAACGACTTCTTTAATGACGGTAATTTGTAGGACATTTATAAGTTTAACTTTTATTTATTTAAGCACTGACATTTTAATGTATTATACTATGACATTTTTATTTTATTTTTTTGTTATATTACCTTTATTGACTTAAGCTAACAATATTTCATACGCCTGTGAGGGCAGATTTTGGTGGTACTATCTTAATACTGTGATCATAATTATTTACCCAAAATGTAATGAATAAATGATTTTGATTGATTTGATCGGTTGTTCCTCCTAGAAACGTGACTAGACTCTGAAGAGTGTCAGGATACATCATTGTATGTTGAAAGATGATGCCTAATTTGTTAATCGTTTTGTTGCTTAAAATTTCAAATATGTACACAACCCAGTTTTTAGTGTTTTAATCGAGTTTGTTACCTTGATATATTACTTGAGAGGGTTCATGCTGGATCTTATGAATACTCTCCTTATTTTTAGCAACACCGATGTCCACGTATTGAACCGCTAGTGTTACTTATGTTAGCTGACTCGCGAGAAGTAACGTTTACTGGTAGGCAATGTTTTACATACTGACGACATGAGTACCATGTTGATTGCGTGATAAAAAATTGAAGTAAGTTTTTCCGATGATCAATGATGATGCTGATTCGGTGATAATGTGGAAATTTACAGGATTCCATCAAAAAAAAAAAAATATTTAGGATGAACTAAAAGTCATAGTCAGGTGTGTCCGAGCGGATACAGAATGTCTTGACAAGATCAACTCAGACATTTGTAGCCCGTATATTGTGGTGAAGTCTACAGCGCCAAGTGTTACGACTGCTAATAGCAGGCAGACCCGTGTGAACACGCGACACAGACTGTGGCGGAGTTCATAGTGCTATGTGGATAGCATATAATTATAGAAATGTGTGCTGTCTTCTTTGAGAATTACCTTCCCACACAATATGATACGCTAACATTGTGTGATATCTGATGTGTATTGTGTGTGTAATGTGCGTTTGAATAATATGCTAACGTAGGTATTAATTATGTTACACATGTGTTTGAGACTCATGATACGCTAACGTAGTGCCTATGTCATGTAGTCGTTATAGCAGAGATAGCTAACGTCGTGCTTCCTCTCTGAGTATGTTCTATGATCGTGAACTATGCTAACGTCGTGCCTATGGTTCACCATTGATTGTGTTTTTTCCTGTGTTCGTGACTCATGATACGCTAACGTCGTGCCTATGTCATGTAGTCGTTATAGCAGAGATAGCTAACGTAGTGCTTCCTCTCTGAGTATGTTTTATGATCGTAAACTATGCTAACGTCGTGCCTATGGTTCACTATTGATTGTGTTTTTTTCCTGTGTTCGTGACTCATGATACGCTAACGTCGTGCCTATGTCATGTAGTCGTTATAGCAGAGATAGCTAACGTAGTGCTTCCTCTCTGAGTATGTTTTATGATTGTGAGCTACGCTAACGTCGTGCCTCTAGTTCACTATTGATTACTTTACTGTGTTGGTGACTTATGATATGCTAACGTCGTGCCTGTCATGTAGTTGTTATAGTAGAGATAGCTAACGTAGTGCTTCCTCTCTGACTATATTTTGAATTATTATGGATCAATGTGTACATGTAGTTGTTTGTGTTGGTAACCAACGACATCCCGATACAATTTTTATAATTTCAGGTGCAGAAGGTATTGAACTCACACGTCACGTTTTTGGTAATTGATAAGATTAACGATTTAATATGGGTCGATGTGTCTTCGGAAAAAACCGGTGTCCCGACCCAATCCTTATGT